CGGCATGCCTTGTTAGGGGTATTTACGTCAGTGCCTACTCAGGGCCCGTTCAGGAAATTCCACTAAGAATTTACCTTAGTAGGACCTATCTAGGCCCAACGACGGCATGCCTTGTTAGGGGTATTTACGTCAGTGCCTACTCAGGGCCCGTTCAGGAAATTCCACTAAGAATTCATCTTAGTAGGACCTATCTAGGCCCAACGACGGCATGGGGGGAGCCGTCGTGGCAGCGAACATGGAAGGACGTACTCGGTAGAGCTCTCGTACGTGAGTGTTAATAGTGTGGCCTATATTGCGTTTAGGCCGGTAAAAGTGGACTCATCGTGTTCAGCGCGCGCGATTTAGTCGGTAAAAGTGGAGGCAGTGCGGTGGCTTCACTAATTTCTGAAGAAATTAACGTTAAAAGTGAGGCTCGCTGCTACGTGCCAAGTCATCACGTCAAGATGGCCGGCTCCCCCACCCACGTGCCTCCGCGTGATAGACTATTTAGTGAAGATTGTGTAATAAATAGCCTTCTCAGGGCTTAAAAAAGAACCCAGTGTGCTCTGTGGCGACTCTCCGGAGGTCACTGGCGCGTTCGCGCACCGGAGAGGAGCTGGAAAAAGACGGATTCAGTGGACCTTCCGCGAGGGACGGTTGCCGTTCAGAACAAAGGACGGGCGCTCTATCGGCCATTTTGCGTGACGGGCCACGTATATGGTATGGCCTGATATACCTTGTGGCGGACGAACAGAGACTTGGTTCGTAATTTATGTCGTACGTGTGCACCGTTCGTGTTCTGTAAACTAGCCTTAAGGTTTCGCGTGCGTTCTGTGTAAGCGGTAGTCGCGGCTGCTTTTGCGGTGCCGCCATTTTACGCCAGCAGCGGACATCGTCTGCGGGGAGTTCTCTCCTGCGTTCATTGCCCGGCGACCGGGCGCTGTTTCCCGGCGGCGGGGGGATGCGCGGCGGCGTCGTGAACGGCGGTATCGCCGCCATTATGTCGGCCGCGTGCTCTGTGCGTGTAGTTTCCGCGGTCAGTCGTGCGAAAATTATAAATTATGTATTCGTGGTGCCCTTCTGGGCCTGTTTAAGGGACGCCCGTGCGTCGCCGTGTGTGTCGCGGTCGGGTGGTCGGCGGCCGTCGCGCGCCGTGTGCCTTGGCCCCGCGTGGCGTACTCGTTCCCGTCTTCGAGACGGGCCACGTAGTGTGACGTTTTCTACGCGGGTGACGGGCGATCCCGCGCTTTCTCAAAGCCGTGGTGATTCGCGGTGTCGTGCTGGCCGCGGGGTGCGGTGGCTGCTGGCCCCTCGTGCTCGTCGGCGCGGTGGTCTTGCGTATCTTGTGCGCGGTGTGGCACCGCCTTGCGGGCGGTCTGGGAGCGGCGCCGCGCGCGACGCGAATTGCGGACTCGCCCTTACATATAGGCGAATGGTGTAGTGTAGCATCACCGTTGGCGGCGTATCCTGGTCCTCAGCTTTGACATGCTGAGAGATTTAGGTTAGGGGCGCCGTCGCCGGCGACGGCTTAAGGCGGTGGCGGGCGCATCGCGGCGCCATATTGTAGTGACACGTAGCGCGTCGAGCTCCCGGTGCATGTGTCAACGGGAGCCGTGAGGGATTACCGCGGTCGCCCGGGGCTGTCGGGCCCGGGGCGGGATTGCGTGTCGGTGTGTTTTGTGCGTTTATGTGTGGGCTAGCTGCCCGTCTAGACATAGAATACGTGTATAGTGACGTTTAGTGTGGGCACTCTCGGCCGGTTTTTTGCGCGAAATCGGGAGTTTTTTACGACTTCAAACGTCGGGGGTGGATCTGCGGGAGGTGGTGGTCGCGACCACATACTTGGATTTGACTTTAAAAATCCAAAGGCGGCTAACTTTTTTCCCCTAGGCGGTGTGAACGCGGCGGTAGGGCGCGGCAGTATAGTCACCATATTGTCGTTCGCGCCGTGACGTGTCGGATCGCCTCCTCGTTCGGCGTCTTCTGCGGGGAGTGCGTGGCCCTCCGGGGGTCCGCGAGTGTAGGGGGGTGTTCCGCGAGGTGCGCTTGAGCCGGGACATTGGTGGCGGCGATCGGCGGGGTCGCCTCGAGCCGCCGCGGGTGTCGGAAGTGGCGCGTTGGATTTGTGCCTTGGAGCTGCGGGGGGCCTCGTGCGGGGGCTCGGCGAGTGTGCTGGAGGCCGCTGATGGCCCCTCCGTGCGCGGGGTGCTCGGGCGCGGTCGCGTGGGTGCGGGCGTTGCCCGGTGGACGCGCGGATCGTGGCCGTGTGCTCGTCGTGGCTCTGTGGCATGCGGGACTTTGCCGCGTGTGTGAGGGTGCGCGGGGCGAGGGGCGGGTGTCGACTTTTGCCGCCGTCGAGTGCTTCGCGCCGTTGTGTATGTCGGGTGTGATCCTAGTGTCGTGTATGTCTTGAGAGGTTACCGGGCGCGATCGTATGTTGCGGGCCGTTAGGGCCGGTCTTTATGTGACGACGCGCGTTCGGGCGCGTTCGTATTCCGGGTGAATACTTTGCTCGAGACTCGGGGAACGTGGACATCATTCCCGTCGGCGGAATTAGTGCGCGCCGTGTTCTCGGTGATCGCGGTGGCGCTCATGGTCGCGGTGGCGCTCGCGGTCGAGAAGACGCTCGCGATTGGTCGGTGCCTTCGCGAGAGTGGCGCTCTGAAATGGCGCGCGTGCCGCGCGGTACTTTGGCTGGACGTCGTTGCGCGGCGCTTAATACACGCCTGCCACGTCACTTTGAATATAGATCTCGGACCGAATACTGATCCTGTATAAGGATAGACGATCGGAGTACCGTGTACCCCGAGTGGCGATCGCGCGCGCGAGTATTGTAGAAGTCGTGCGGTTCCCTGCTCGGGTGGCTCGCGGGGTGTGTCGTGTGTGTCGGGCTCGAGTGTGAATCTCGCCGTGTAAATACTGTACATATTGTTCTATATATATTGTCGTAATTAGTGACGGGCACAAGGTAAGGTTGTTTGCCCGCCACTGAACTTGTATGTTGCAGGTAGACGTGTGCGCTTGCCTTTTTCAAGGCACGCACGGGAAATAAATTGCGGCCCTGCCTCGTTTACAACAGCGGAGGAGCACCTTGTACATATTTATATTCTTTATTGTGTGCTTCCTGCCCTCTTTCTTTTCAGGAAAGTGCTAGGGCGTTACGAGTGCGGGGGGCGGTTTATTCCGTGTGTAGGGGATTCGTGACGGTCCGACGGTGGAGGTTAGGCGCGTCGCGACTCGAGAGGAGGGACGCGTGTTAAGTGTCGTGACGGGTCGAGGTTAGGCGCGTCGCGACCTGCGTGAGAGGCGGGCTTGAGGCTTTTGAGAGCCCATTAGCTGTTCTAAAGGGCCACGTAATTGGCGCAGGGGAGAACGGGGGTGCGTGTATGCGATCTCCGTTCTCCCTAACCCCTTGTGGCTCTCTCCGACTCGAGAGAGGGAGAGACTTCGTACGTCGGGATAGATTCGACTTGCTTTGGGGTTAGAGTTGTGTGTGTGTTCATTGACGGGAACAGCGCTCGGCTCTGAGCGGGCTACGTCTTCGAGCCCTTTGGCCCGGGCGCTGGGTGCACCAGGACTATATAGCCGGGTGGCCTCGAGCCAGTAGTGACGAGGTTAGAGAGCCGCGCTCCGTATAAAATAATGCCTCTCGTGTCGCTCGCTGCTTGCGGGGTATTCAGTGACGGTGCGCCCGCGGTAGTTGAGGTTGAGTAGCTCCACATATAGAATGTACGGTGTCGGTGCGTTCGCGGCAAATTGACGATAAGGGATAGGGGGGCTTTACGCCGGCGGGATTGCGGCCGGGGTTAGGGTTAGGTTCTCCCGTGCGGCGCCCGGCGGCGGCGAGGTGTACCTGCATCGCCGGGTTCGAGAGCGCGCCGCTGCGTGGCGCGGGGCCGCTGGCGCTCTCTCGGACTCAAGATTAGGTGAGCGGTGCTACATAAGAGAGTCGGATAGCGTGTCGGGACATTCGATAGTGGGATACCATAGTGGCTGTGTCACGGCTTTTTCCAACCGTGACGCATTTTGAATGATGCGCTGGTCGTGTGTCTCCCTCATGATCGTGGCACGAGCCTCGTACCCGGTGACTTGTCACGCGGTTCGGCTCGTTGTCGCTGGTCCGGGGAGCTCCGGCTCGGGCGCATCTTAAAAAAAGGACTACAAGTATAAATGCGAGGGACGGGCTTATCCGTCGGGTAGGATGTCACGAAGTATTTTTGAATACATGATAGGCTGCGTGCGAATTATAAAGACGTGAGATTCTCGCGAAGGGTCGTTTCGGCCGTCGTTGTATGCGACGTACCGGACTCCCGCCGGATTAGGTCTCGTTACACAGACACCCGACTCGGGTTGAGTCTGTTCATTCGTGGTGTCGCCCCGATGGAAGGCGACTTATGGCGACGAATTCCGCCAGCGTTGATATGCAGAATAGTAACTTGATATCTTATCTTGTCCAAATGCGGTGCGACGTTTCCGATTGACAAGAACGAGACATGGTAGACGTGTCTTGATGCGGGGTAGCGGCGGAATATGGTTCCGAGTCGCGATTGTGTATAGGAGGTGCGCTGAAGCGAATGCGATGCGATGTGAGACGCGGATATGGCGGTGCACTGTTTCCGAGCCGCTGTCTGGCGATTGGAGTCATAGGAGCAGCGGCCTCCTGCGCACCGTGGATGCGATGTAATGCGTATTAGTTAACCTTGTACGGGCGCCCTGCATGCTGTAAGATGCGGAAACAACAGGGATGCGCCGACTTAGATTGACGGGCGTAGTGTAGAATGCAGATTAGACGACCTCTGTGCGGTCGAGGTTTTTGAAATCGGAATGACCACGCATAAAATTGCCGTATTTAATGGGTGCGTTGTGAGAGCTATCTGAGCGGGGTTTTGCGCCCGAGTCTGTAAATAAATAAATAATAAATAGAATAGATGCGATTAGCTAGACATACTTGTATATACTCTGTGTAAATTGCGGAATCCTTTTGAGTTATTTTGATATTCCGCTCGATTGACTGTTATAAGCCTTGGCTTGTTAATTGAGTAATGGGCGACCCTTGTATAGTTGAGCATCGTTCTCTCTGGGGCCCGCTTTTCGAGGTTGGAGTATCGACAAGAGTTACTGACTGTAAATAGTGAAGGAGCGTAAGCCAACATATGCAGATGATGTGCATACGAAAATATCTCTGTGCATATCGAAGTAGGAAGTCCATGGTGCTGAACTCACAGTACCATGGAATCTTCGTCCTAGCTTAAGGTGTGAGGCACCGTGCCGAGGGGCATGGCCACAGGGACGTTAATTTTGTGGTCGCGAACGGTCCCAGTAGGGCACCGGCCGCCCCCCTACTGTATATATAGGCTTGTGTGGAGGATCCGGGTGTCCTTCACATTGACCGTTTACTTCGCCCGGACTTTTCACGTGGGGGTTCCAGCCCAGACGTCGTGTCGGCGTCGGACTGGAGGAGCGGACGGATTTTCGGTACGACTGCCTGACCACGGACTATGATTCAAGGTGTATTTATCCTATGGCAACGGAGTGTCCCCGGACTTTGAGAATTTGTGCTGTACCCCCGTCTACGGCTATGAGTACAACACAAGAAAACGAGTCGGTGGTTCGGAACACCGACGACCAGCACGGCGTTTCCCCGGACGGGCTTCTCGGGATTGGTTACCCCGAGGAGCTTACCGTGCTGTTAAAAGGCAAGGGGACAAGCGATGGAGACAACGGTGGAGCATCGGCCCTATCTGCTCACGAGGAGGGTGGCAGTACGGCCGAGATGCTTAGCTGCGAGGGGTCTAACGAGGAGGATCCGCTTCGCGTGCCCTCGTCTGCGGTGGAGGAGGCGGCGGCCTCTGGAGATATCGGTCACCTTCCGGGTATTTCATTCGGCGCGCTGGAGGGCTCGACGAGGTTGGTGGCCGACGCTCCAGCCAAAAGGAAGAGGGACTCCTCTGAGTCACCGGGAGCGGCCTCGTTGGCGGCGATCTCGTCGGAATCTGAGCCCGGAGTGAGGGGTCGGAGAACTCGCCCGCGGGCTATATCGGACGATCCCCCGTCTGAGGGGGGGTCGTCGGGCGATCGTCCCGATGACGGGGTGATCGTCGTTTCATCCGAGGAGAGGCCTGTGAAGAACAAAAATAAAAATAAGAAAAAAAGACAAAGAAAGAAGAAACAAAAAAAGGATTGGAACACGACCCAGTCCGAGTCCGAGTCGAGGCCTGATCTGGGATCCCCTGGATCAGGGATATTAAAGCAGGTGATGAAATCTGAGGAGGCACTTGCGTCTCACTCCGCGGACGAAATTACGCGCATGGCTAAGGCGTGGCTGAGAGGCATAGAGAGCGCACGCACAACTAGCCAAAATATTAAGGGCACACTCTCGGGTCGGATGGGGAATCGAATCAAGGCTCTCGAAAATGTTATCAAGGTCTTCTCCGAGAGAGTGGAGGACTCCGGTGACGTCCCATTCCTACGACGGAGAAACGAGGAACTTGAAGAGCAACTGAAGAAGGCCAAGAACTCGGAGGATCAACTGAAGAAAGAGCTGGAGGAGTCACGGAAGCGTACTACGAAAATAAACGCTGAGTTGAACGCTCTGAGGGAGCGCATTGGTTCAAAGTCCACATCAAGGGAGGACAACGTGGCGACGGCCTCTGCGAGAGAGCGGTTATCGGTCGCGGGGGAGGGACCCCGTGCTCCGGGTAAACGCGGAGCTAAGTCCCGCGCCCTGGCAGAGGCCTCCGCCTCTACGGACGTGGGCGATTCAGCAATGGACATCAAGAGACTGGAGGGCTACGAGGATAAACTGACCAATGAGATCGGCAATTTGTTGCATATTCAGGAGGACATTGCGGCCCTGAAAGAGAGGCTTTTGAATGATGGCCCACCACAACCACCGCCGCCTCGGAAGAAGGGCGTCCCAAGGATAATGGAGGACATTCAGATCCGTCCTCCTCTGAAGGCTAATAGACCGGCCCTATCAACGGACTCGGAGATTGTGGTGTCAACGGATAACCAGAACTCCAGATCGTATCGGACTGCGTTACTGCGGCACAAAACAGAGGAGACGGGAGGACCTGCCCCGCGTGGCGAAGTGGCCGCTCCCTCTCCCGCGATGGGGAAGAGGAGCCGAGGAAGGAAACGTGATACTCCACGAAAGGAAGGTCCCGGGGCAGACGCCAAGCGAGGGGACGGCCCTCCGCGTCGTCGTGTCCCGAGGTCGGCGGCGGTTACCCTCAGATCTGCGACCGGGGAGATATCCAATACAGAACTGCTAAGGAGGGCTAGGCAGAAGATGAGCCTGGGGGATTTCGGAATTGTGAAACCCCGCATCAGAGTCGCCGCCGGCGGTGCCCTTATTATAGAGGTCCCTGGTGAGGACGGCCCTGCCAAGGCTGACGCCCTCGCGGCGAGATTGAGGGATACTCTTGGGCCTGACGCAGTGGTGTCACGCCCCGTTGCAAAGGGGGAGCTGAGGGTTGCTGGCTTCGATGGTTCCGTCTCCCCGGATGAGCTGGTGGCGGCGCTGGTCGACGCGGGTGGCTGCTCGTCGAGGGACGTGAAGGTGGGCTCGTTCAGGGAATCCCCGAGCGGCCTGTGCTCGGCCTGGGTGCAGTGCCCCTTGGCTGCGGCCAATCGCATGGCGAAAGCGGGCTCAATAATCGTCGGATGGACAATGGCGAAGGTGACGCTTCTTAGGTCGAGACCAGTCCAGTGTTATCGCTGCTGGGACTTCGGCCACGTGAGGGGCGGCTGCCGCTCGACAATTGAAAGAGGGCGCGCATGCTTTAACTGCGGAGGAGAGGGTCATGCGCTGAAGGAGTGCTCTTCTCCATCGTGCTGCGTAGTGTGTCGGGATAAGGGATTAAATCCGGATCATAGACTAGGCACAGACAATTGCCCCAGTGTTCGGCCCCGCGATCGGAGGGCGGGACCTCCTGGACGGACGAATGGCCCTTAGGCTCTACCAAATTAATGTTAACCATAGTCGGGCATCTCAAGATCTGATGATGCACTGCGCGCTTGAAAACGGTATAGGCATTTGCTGCCTTGCCGAGCCGTGGCGGGTCCCTGCGGATAATGCTCATTGGGTCTCGAGTTTAGACTCAGTAGCGGCCATAGTGTGGAACCCGGCGCTTACCGGGCCCGGCTGCGTCGTATTCCACCGATCTAATAACATTGTCGGTGTGAGGTTCGGAGATGTCGGGTCATATCTGTGTACATATCCCCAAACATTAATGTCGCGAGCTTCCTCGAGATAACTGATAGACTGTCGGACGCGGTGGCCGCTGCTCGAGGCCCCGTCATTCTCTGTGGAGACTTCAACGCTAAGTCTAAATACTGGGGGTCCTCCATAGACAATCGCAGGGGTGAAATACTCCTCGGTCTGGCGGACCAACACGATCTGGTCCTATGTAATAGGGGGAACAGGCCAACTTGCGTGCGCCCTCAAGGCTCCTCTATAATTGACTTGACGTGGGCCTCGGCCCAGTACGCAGGTCGAATCAGGAACTGGTCTGTGATGTGCGACATGGAAACATTATCCGACCATAGATTAATTGCGTTCACTGTTGTAAATAATGTAAATAGCGTAGGTAATATAAATGTTAGACGTAAGAAGCCGTACCCTCGCTGGTCATTGAAGGGCCTAGATGTGGAGCTCCTGACAGCCACGTTCGAGGTTCTCAGTTCCGGGCTCGATGCGGATCGCGCTCCGGACTGTTTGGCTGAAGACATAGGGGCGTGGATCTCTGATGCGTGCGACGTGGCAGCAAGAAGGTCCAGCACTCGTCCACTGAAGAAGGCGGCGTATTGGTGGAGCGAAGAAGTTGCTGCTGCCAGGAGAGCGTGTGTTGCAGCCCGTAGGAAATACACAAGGGCGAGATCAACGGGGAGACTAAACGATGAGGTGGACCGAGTCTATAAGGCCACCAAGAGAGAGCTGAGAAAAGAGATCCGTAGAGCAAAAGCCAACGCGTGGAGGGAGCTTCTGCTGGGAGTTGAGGAGGATCTATGGGGATTGCCATACAGAATGGTGATGAACCGTCTTCGGAGGTCATCCCCTGCCCTCTCAGAGACCCTTGATCGGGAGGTTCTGGAGGAGCTGCTGAATACGTTGTTTCCGGAGGGGGAGACTCACTCCCCTGAGGAAATTTGGAGCGACTGGAGCGGGGAACGCTTCATGGCTGCGGACCACGTTGGCGCCTTGGAGGTCTTTCGAGCGATCAAGCAGGAGAGGAAGAAGTCGAATCCTGCCCCAGGCCCGGATGGAGTTGGAGCAATCATATGGAGGAGAGCCGCGGACATTGCCTCAAATAGGCTAGCTGTGATTTATACAGCCTGCCTAAAAGCGGGAGTCTTCCCGGTTAGATGGAAGAGGGCTAGACTCGTACTAATTCCCAAGGAGTCGGTGGGTCCACAAATTAAGGCGCGCCCCATATGTTTGCTTGATGAGGTCGGAAAAATCTTCGAAAAAGTTATCGTTGCAAGGCTCAAAGCCCACATGGAGGAATCGGCGGGTGCTCGGCTCTCGCGCCTCCAATTTGGCTTCAGAGAAGGGTGCTCCACGGTGGACGCCCTAGACGCTGTTCTCGATGCTGTTAAAAAAGGATTAGATAGGAACGGCTTCGCCATAGCCGTTAGCTTGGACATTAAAAACGCCTTTAATTCACTCCCATGGGGGACGATCCGGTGGTCCCTGGAGCGTAAGGGCTTCCCGGAATATCTTCGACGAATTATAGTTACCTTCACCGGAGATCCGTGGAGTTCGACACCTGTGACGGGGCGACTGTCCGCAGGGACATCACGCGTGGGGTCCCACAGGGTTCCGTACTGGGACCGCTGTTGTGGAACATCGCCTTTAACTACATTTTAGAGGCAAGGGCGAAAGACGGCTGCGCGGTGTTTTGCTACGCGGACGATACTATGATTGTAGGAACTGCGAAAACAATCGAAGTGATGCGTTCGCGAGTGAACGATCAAGTGACGATGGTGCTCCGTCGGCTGGACTCGCTCGGCCTGACGGTGGCACCGGATAAAACTAGAGCGGTGCTTTTCAGGAAGTCGAGGGTGCGCATTCCTCAGGAACCTATCTTGCGAGTCAGGAATAGCCTGATAAAGGTCTCCCCCTGGATTAAGTACCTGGGGGTGATTCTCGATTCGCGGCTAACATTCGAAGAACATATTAGACAGGTTTGTGACAGAGCCTCCAAGGTAACTAAGGCATTGAGTCGTCTAATGCCGAACCTTCGGGGCCCCCGCGAGAATAAGCGTAAGCTCTATGCTAGTGTAGTGGCATCGGTGGCCCTTTACGGAGCGCCAATATGGTCAGAGGCCTTGTGCGCCTCTAAGAGAAGTCAAAACCTGTTTCGCGCGGCACAGAGATCGGTCGCGATTAGGGTTTGTGCGGCGTACAGAACTGTGTCATTTGACGCGGCCACCCTGATCTCTAGGCAGATCCCGTGGTGGCTGACTGCGGGAGAAAGATCCCGCATATACAACAGAATATGCGATCTGAGAGAACTTGGCACGGCGAGTAGGGATGCCATACTGGACATCAGGCATGAGGAACACATCTTGACGATGAGGCAGTGGAAGCTCTACATGGACAACGAGGACTTACCTGGCGTCTGGACGAGGGCGGCCATCGTTCCGGTCTGGTCGCTGTGGATGAACAGGCAATGGGGGAGAGTCCACTTTCACCTCACCCAGCTGATGACGAACCATGGATGCTTCGGGGCCTTCCTTTACAAGATCGGGAAAACCAACGATCCCTCTTGCCCACATTGTGGTGGAGCAGAGGACACTGCGTTACACACCCTGGCCGAGTGCCCGGCCTGGGACACTGAGAGGGAGGAGCTGCTTGCGGCCCTTGGTGTCCAGGAGCTCTCTCTAATCCTGGTAGTGGAGGCGATGCTATCGAGCAAGGAAAGGTGGGCCGCCTTCTCGAGGTACTGCTCGACAGTTATGCTGGCGAAGGAAGACGCGGAACGAGCCCGAGAGGCCAATGGAGGAGGTGAGCCAGCAGACGCAGAAGACTCACCTTAGATTGCGTAGCTATATAAATAATCTGTATACATTTATGCGAACATGTACTTATGATTGTTTGACCGTATCTACTTCGGGAACAGTTATGAGCCCGTGGCACAGAAGGAGTGGGTTGCGCGCGAGGCTTGCGTGGCCCATACACATACCCACGCAACGAAATTTTGTTAAATGCGTTTGCGTTTAAAGAGGGGCGACTTTGAAACAATATAGTGGTAGGACTTTTCTCTGTTATCAATGTTGCATCATGTTGGTCCTGCTCGTATGTACATAATGTTGTGATATAATAGTATTTACAGTAGCAGACATGTGGTTGTCCTAAATGGGGGGGAGGCACCTAGCCCTGTGCTCTAAGGGAGTTACTTATATATCTATTTTACCATCTGGCTAGAGTGCCTATTGTCGCGTGGACCATCCCACTCCGCCGTCCTAACAAGGAGAGAAGTGTGAATGATTGTGTTACATCTAGTGAGAATATGTATGATATATGTATGAATGGTTAGGACGGTGGGCGTGTCGTAAAGCCGCCTGTGGCCGGAGGCTATAAAGCCTGTCACTGTTGGGCGGGTCACTCCCGACGTAATGCCCTCGACGGGTCTGCCGGGGTGACTCTCCTATAGTGCGGAGGAGGGTCCAAGAAAGGGGTTTTTTAGCCTGGTATACCGCTTCACGGTGAGTCCGGGCATATCCACGGGGTTCGGCTGCCCCGTGTTGAATGCATAAAGCATTTTTCCCCTTTCCGTCAAAAAAAAAAAAAAAAAAGGCCCAACGACGGCATGCCTTGTTAGGGGTATTTACGTCAGTGCCTACTCAGGGCCCGTTCAGAAAATTCCACTAAGAATTTACCTTAATAGGACCTATCTAGGCCCAACGATGGCAAGCTTATTTTAGAGCATGCCTATCTGGGCCCTACATTGTCTGGCCTATTTTAGGGCATGCCTGTCTAGGCCCAACGATGGAAGGCCTTGCTAGGGGCAATCACGTCAGTGCTTATTCAGGGCCTGCACAGGAAATTCCACTTGGAATTTTTCTTTGTTAGACCTGTCTAGGCCTAACGATGGAAGGCCTTGCTAGGGGCATTCACGTCAGTGCCAATTCAGGGCCCGTTCAGGAAATTTCACTAAGAATTTACCTTAATAGG